TAAACCGAGCGGTAGTTATGAACTGACTAACTATGTGGACGTTATAAGAGATGTTAGGATAAATGACAGTGAGATAAAAGAGACTACCTACCAATTGGCGATACAAACTACCATCTCGAAGAGATTCTCCATCATATAGATTAAGTATTGTGTTGTGCTCAAGGGATCAACAATCTTGCGGTCAGTTAGACCCGATTTCGAGAGAAGATCAGATATGTATTTTGCCTGAATAAGATAGTAACCATCTGTAGATGTAATTATCTTAAGACCAAGAAAATAACCAAGGGGTCCAAGATCCTTCATCTCGAACTGATGATTAAGAAACTGTTTGAGTTCCTGAATTCCCGTCAAATCATCTCCAGTGATGATCATATCATCAACATAAAGTAAAAGGAGAATGATACCTCGATTAGTGCATCAAACAAATAAAGCAGAGTCATAACGACTAGCAGAGTAGCCAAGTCGAGAGACAGTCTGACTGAATTTGGCAAACTAAACTCGCGATGCCAATTTGAGACCATACAAAGCATGTCTAAGTTGGCAAACCTTATTAGGAGAATGAGAATAACCTAGAGGAGGTTGCATGTACACTTCCTTAAGTAAATCGCCATTGAGAAATGCATTCTTAACATCCATCTAAAAAAGTCCCCAATGACGAAAAGACGTGCAACAGGAGCAAATGTCTCCTCAATGCAGGTAGCTCTAAGTGTGCACTTTGCTTTCTACCTGTTTGAGAGGAAAACTTTTAGGATTCCTTCTCCCTTTTGAATATGAAAATAAGGCTACAATTAAATTCCTCTACTAGAGAAAGAAGTCATCTCTGAAGTAAGTGTTGGTAGTGAAAGGAATATCTTTTTTAAGGTCTCCCAAACAGTTTATACAGCCCCACGGAAAAGTATTAGGGTTAATTTCACTCATACCCCTTCAGGTTTAGCCATTTTTCACTACCAAACATCTTTCGAAAATAACTATCACTTAGGTCCATTCTTGCTTTTCCATCACAGTATCCATTTAAAATATGTAAAAAGACAATTTTTCCCCTAATTTTTTAAAAAGACAAGGGTTTATTTCACTCTCACCCCCTCAAGTTTGGCCATTTTTCACCTTCAAACATCTTTCGAAAATAATTATCACTCACATTACAAACTTTTATTCCATTTTTCACTAACACCCCAACTGTTACTTCAACAATTTTGACATGATGTAAAATGAATTAAAACAACATTTTACCCTAAAAAAATAGATTAAAAGACTAAAATATCCCTAATTTTTCTATAAATTTACAAATTATATATATATATATATATATATATATATATATATATAAACACATACATTTATATACGTACACATACATATTTATATATACGCATAGCACACAACGCCGTCAGTAAGCACCATACCACCGATCCACCAACACCGGCGGCCGCCTCAGCACTACCAAACCTACCCTTACCCCCACAACCACCACCAGCAGACCCACCCTCACCCCCATTCCACAACCTCACAGATTGCGAATCGATGGAGGCAGCGACGTGGCTCAGGCACGATTCGGAAGCACCACACCATCAACCGCCTTAACACCACCGAACACACCCTCACCCCCACAACCACCACCACCAGACCCACATTCACCCCTACCCCACAACTGCACAGATCGCGAATTGAAGGAGGCAGAGACATGGTTTAGGCACAATCCGGAAGCACCATAACACCACTCCACCACCACACCACCGATAGTTTCTCTTTCCATTCCTAAACCTGTTTGATTGTTGAACAAATCTTGAAAAAGCCAACCAAGAAGATGACAACATTAATAGCCCTTGCTACAGAAGCGGCCAGAGATTTGGATTCAAGTGCCCGGAGGAAGTGACGAGAATGTCCATAGATTGATTGAAAAGGCCTTCCAGCAAGCACCTTTTCCACCAAGTAAACAGAGGCATAAACCTATTTGTTTCTCTCTCCACCCATTCTTTCCACCGCTCATTCATTGGCTCTAAGAGGGAATTTTATACATTCCCTCTCCACCCATTCTTTCCACCACTCAATCTCACCACCGACACTGATATAAACCTATTCGTGGCTCCGAATTTTACATCGACGTCGTCATCTTCGGCAAAATGACCCTCTGTTTCAGCATTGATCACAAAATGATATTGCAAGATTGTCTTTTGGGTTAATTGCAAAAAATAACAATGTCCCTATTCAGAAAGGTCTATCTTTCCTCATAAGGATGTAGTAGAAAGAACTACATAGTTATTGAGACAAAAATAACAATGTCCTTCTTCATACCTGCCCACCAAAACTGTTAAAAATATACATATACAATTTCAAATCTTGTAGTTTGGTGGGCAAGTATGAAGAGGGACATTGTTATTTTTGTCTCCAAGTGTACTACTTGCCATATGTATATATACGGACTACAGCGCGCATAATACGGACTACATAGTTATTATATGATTTGATTATGATGTATTCGTGTATTAGGTCTCTGTTTGGGATGTAGTAGAAAGGACTTATTCAGGGGCCTACACACTATTATTTTTCAGGTGTTCGTCAGTATCAGGCGTAGAGATTGTTTGTGCAGAGTAGAGACCAGTTATCATCACTGGAGTATTAGTGTGTATCTATATGTAAATACGGACTACGTAGTTATTGTATGAGTTGACTATGATGTATTCGTGTATTGGGTCTCTATTTGGGATGTAATAAAAATGACTTGTTCGTGGGCCTGACTCACTATTATTTTTCAGGTGTTCATTAGTATCAGGCGTAAAAATTGTTTGTGCAGAGCAGAGACCAACTGTCATCACTCTTCTGGTCATCTACGTAGGATCTATCTCATGTTTTCAATCTTTAGTTTTAGAGATTTATTTCTGTTATCATTTTAGTGAGGATTTTTATTAGGGGTGTACATTATGGATTTCCGAGTTGTATTGGTATAAGAGGAGTTGGATATTTACATTGAGGAGATTATTATTTATTGGATTTTATTTGGAGGATTTAATTATTTAATTATTATTTAGTTTTCCTTTCAGCTTTATTTTTTTATTCTTTTGTATTATGTACTTACTTATTATTAATTGTTTGATATCCCTTGGTTTTGGACATGGACTTGATCAACCCATAACTCTGAAATTAGGAACTATCACACTCCGACACCTTGGAAATAGAGGCATTTGGTATGGAAGTAGACCTTGAAATTTTGATTACCTGGGAGCCAAGGATCTAACCAGCAATTAACATCTTCCCTATTTCCAATTCGCCATTTTAAACCTCTTCTGATCACATCTTTTGTTGCGGCAAGACTTCCCCAAATCCAAGAGGCACGTTTTTTTACAAACTGAATCCAGAAAGGAGCAATTTTTAAAATAACGTTGCTTGAGAATGTTGCATACCTGCGAATTATCCCCGAATTCAAATCTCCAAGCTATTTTAGCGAGGAGGGAAGTATTAAATGTTTCGAGATTTCTATAACTTAGACCCCGTTATTTTAGTTATTTTATGTTTCCAATCTCCAAGCTATTTTAGTTGTGACTTCATTTAGTTTTGGAGGATTGGGTTTTTCCACTACACCAAAAAATTCCGCATATTACTAATCAAATTAAGTGTGGATAAAATCAACTTGAAGCAAAGCATTGAGTGGTTGCTACCAACTCTCAATGAAATATTTGACTATTTGGAAGGTGGTTTTATATATGTCATGGTATTTGGATGGGCTAAATGTTATGTAGGCTTTAATGGGCCAAATTTCATGTTGGTTTGAAGGGCTTGTAACACAGTCCAGTTGAGGCATTTCTGCTCTACCATTCAAATCTTGCAAAATAATAGGAATAAAAATAATAATAATAATAATTTATAAAATGATAGAGATAAAAGAGTATATATTTGAATGGTGAAAATTTTCACACTTTGTATTACTAATCGATTGAGAATAAATACAGGTATATATACATTGAGTAATTAAAAGGGTATTTCAAGAAAGAGATTGATACAAGAAGAGACATGGTAACGCAGTTGTTAGAAATAAAGGAATGAATTTTTTTACAGGCTTAGGTAACTATTGCCTCAATTTTTTTTTTAACTGAATTTTCAAAAACACAACCACCAAATCATTGACTTGCTAATAGTTCATTCTTTTGGGAAAAAATGTCTCAGTTGTCCATTGAAAGACTTGGTTGAGCACTTGAGCCTAGAAGCTATGAAAGTTCAATAATAAATAATAATAATAAAAAAAAACAACTTTGAATTTATAAAATATGTAGAGAGAAAACTCACTTTGCTTTATGCAGTACATGCATATTTATAATAAATAAAAAATATTATTAATCAATGGTTAAACTTTGCTTTATGAAATACATGCATATTTATAATAAATAAGAAATTAAATCACTAAAAAAATGATACTTTTAAAAAATATATATATATTGCCTAATGAAAATAAAAATATAAGCAAACTAATAGAATAAGAAAACTAAAAAAATATAAAGAAACTATTTAAAATTAAACTTTCTCTACAAATTATGAAAAAATAAAATAAGAAACCTAATTATTAAAACTATTAAATATGAGGGATAAAAAAAATAGTCCATAAAACCGTCCTAGAAAATTACTGTTGAAAATCAAACTTTTTGCAATCCTAGAAAAAGTAACATATTATATGATATTCATGTATAAAAATGGTCTCATATGGTCCAATTCTTAACCCAAATGTCATTGTCTTGTGGAGTCAAACTATGCTACAAATTTTAATATGAGATTGTTTTTAAGGCAAAGACAAAATACGAAGACCAGTTCTTTGCCCGTTCATGTCACACAGGACAAGTAGAACCACTCAAAGCCGGCACGACATTAACTATTATACAAACAAACTCTTAAAAGAAGTTCAAACACCCTTTCACAGAACTTGTATCCAATATATATCTATATATGTATATATATATATCCTCTCTACAGAGTTCAATCTCTTGATCACGTCGGAGTCCTTTTTCAGACCAAACATGGTTAATCTTTACTCTGTTTTGGTTGGGTTACTCTTCACAATCACAATTTCTCTACCAATTTCAATCTCTCAACAAGCACCACCACCACCCAATCAAACATGCAATGGCATATTCATATCATACGCCTATAACACAGGTCATCTTATCCCTCCCAGGGTACTCCACTCTGACCCGACCCACCAACCCTACAGGTTCCAGTCCACCCTCACAATTCTCAACAATGGTCTCGAGGAGCTCAAGTCATGGCGGGTCTCTGTCGGGTTCGAGAACCGGGAATTCTTGGTCTCTGCTTCGAATGCCGTGTTGGCGGACGGCACGTCACTTCCGGCGGATGTCAGTAACGGGACGGTCTTTGTTGGGTATCCGGTGACGGACCTCAAGTCGGCGGCTCAGACAGCCGGAGATGAGAATCAGATGCAAGCTCGGGTCGAATTGGTGGGGACCCAGTTTGGAATTGGAGCTCCGTATGTTCCACTGCCTTCTACTCTCACTCTGGCCAATTATGGGTTCGTTTGTCCTGGTCCCACTAAGCAAGGTAAACAAGTTTTGATTCTCTATTGATTTACGAATTTTCTATTTTCTGTTTTTTTATTTATTTTAATTTTAACTATGAACTTCCAATTTTTTTTTTTATTAAAAAAAAAAACAGTCAATTTTTTGTGTCATGGGGATAGTGGTATTGATAGAATTAAGGAATTTAAGATTATAAACATGTTTGAAGCGGTGTGTGAGACCTGAGATCATCCCTTGTGCAATTTTAGGTCTGTTTTGTTTAGTGTGTTTAAATTGGATAAATTTTAATTGTTACAGCTAACAACTGCATAAAGGCATTATAATTCAATGTAATATATTGCGTGAGTGTAGAAATTCTATAATACATCTATAATACCCGAATATCGTATTCTCGATATTGATCATCCATCATGTAGGCCTACCACCACATTCAATATCTGAGAGATCAGTAAGTACGGCTGTAATGTAGCGTGTTGCACTGCTAACCAAGAAGATCGGGGTTGGTGTGAGACCACCTCTGTTTTTGGAAGGAACATGAACTTTAAAACAGTGGATGTGTGTGTATATACATATAATAGAACCCCAATGCTGCTGAGCAGACAATGTGTGTGTACAAAAAGCACCACATGTTTGTTTAATTCTTTAACCAAAAAACTATAATAGATAGAGGAAACATGTGTGATTTTGCAATTTTATGTGTTTATTATTCGTTGGTGTGGTGTGTGCAGCTAATGAGATCCACTTGTGCTGCATGAAGGACGCAGCTGCACCCAACACTACTCTGGTTGAAAATTTGCTGCCCCGTCAAGAAGGTGATCTAACCATAATGTATGATGTGATCAGGTCGTATGAATCCTATTACTGGGCACAGGTCACAGTCTCGAACCACAACCCCATTCGCCGTCTTGATAGTTGGCAATTGAGCTGGGAGTGGATGAGGGATGAGTTCATCAATAGCATGAAAGGAGCTTACCCGAAAGTGGTTGACACAACGGACTGCATCTTTGGCAGGCAGGGCGAGTACTACAAGGACATCGATTTTTCGACAGCCTTGAACTGTGAGAGAAGGCCAACTATTCTTGATCTCCCACTTTTCAAGACAAATGACGCAATCCTCGGGTCAATTCCCTTCTGTTGTCGCAATGGCACAATCTTACCGCCTTCCATGGACCCGAGCAAGTCCAAATCAGTTTTCCAAATGCAAGTTTACAAAATGCCACCTGACATCAACAGAACTCAGCTTACCCCACCCCAGAATTGGAAGATCAACAGCACACACAACACGGATTACCAATGTGGCTCTCCGGTTCGTGTAACCCCAAGCCTCTTCCCGGACCCTACTGGGCTACCTTCAGAATCCGCAGCAATTGCAAGCTGGCAAGTAGTGTGCAACATAACACATTCGAAGGTGGAATCCCCAAAATGCTGTGTCTCATTCTCGTCATTTTTCAATGATTCTGTTGTTCCATGCAATACTTGTGCTTGTGGCTGCAACAACAGCCCGAGCAACGTATGCAGCGCCTCAGCACAGTCGCTGCTCCTGCGTCCTGATGCTCTTCTCCTCCCATTCGAGAACCGGACTAAACTAGCAAAGTCCTGGGCTGATCTGAACAATTGGGACTTGCCAAATCCACTGCCTTGTGGAGATAACTGCGGGGTCAGCATCAACTGGCACTTGAACTCGGATTACAGAGGCGGATGGTCTGTGCGAATGACGCTTTTCAATTGGGGGGAAGCTGCGTTCGAGGATTGGTTTGCTGCAGTGCAGCTGGACAAAGCTGTGCCTGGCTTCGAGAAGGTGTACTCCTTTAACGGAAGTGTTGTGCCTAGTTCGAATAATACAATATTTATGCAGGGTGTTAAAGGCCTAAGCTATCTTCTAGCGGAAACAGATGGAAAGAATCCGAAGAAAGATCCCCGGGTTCCTGGTACTCAACAATCGGTGATATTGTTTACGAAGAAGACGACTCCTGGAATTAATGTGGCTCGTGGGGATGGGTTTCCAACTAAAGTGTACTTCAATGGTGAAGAGTGCTCACTTCCTACTGTGCTTCCAAGTGATGCTTACAGAATGAGTGGAGCTGCCATTGTATTTAGCTTTTTTCTTGCTTTGCTGCTTCTCGTGTTTTTGCAGCAATAGATGTGGCCATGAAGAGTGCTCACCTCAGCAATAGTGGTCACTGATTCTTGAAAATTATTGATTCAATACTTGTTCTAGATTTAATTTGACTTACCAAATGAAAGGAATTATGTAATTTATATATAGCATGTAAACAAGGCTCGCATGCGCTTTACGCCCCTACGATATTAATATAGTGCGTATAACCACCCATTGTTTGTTCAACTCCCCTATACTTTAAAAATGGTGTGAATTAATGCATTTTGGGTGTTGACCGCTATTGTCCGGTATCGGAGCTACAAAAAAACTAAAACAGCCCTCTATCTATGATTTAAAAAAACTAATAATATAACATAAAATGTGAAAAGACAAAGAAACCCTTTGTCAATACGACATCGTTTGAAGTTAGGGCATATTCACACTTAGGGCATTCACACTCTGTCTTTTGTTGCTTCACTTTACACACTTCACTTTCTCTTTCTGCCACTCTCTCTCTCTCTCTCTCTCTCTCTCTCTCTCTATATATATATATATATATATATATATATATATATATATACAATAGAGACGTATTTGTGTTGAAAGTGACTAGTTGTACAAGCGGCATAAATCCTTCTTGACTTTGTTTTATTTGTCGCGATATGTGGAATCCAAGCACAATGGTATGTATCCAAAAGCTAGGGCTTTTTTTGTTTGATTTTGATTATGTCGGTCATGTAAGGTATATTTTTGTTTGTTTGTGGCTTGTAAAGTCAAGATTCTTGTTGTCGGACTTGTTTTTCAGAAGAAAAAAAAATTCACTTCTTTAATAATGAAATGGACCACTTCTTCTGTTAATGCTCTGTAGGTCCTTGAATCTCCATTAAAAAGTAAGGGTTTACCATAAACAAACAAATTTGATGGCTCCGGTATGTTGTTATGTGTGATTAATGTTGATGAAAGGATTTTTAAAAATCTAATAAGGGTTTTTTAATTGGATTAAGGGTTTTTAAAAAGTTGATAACGATTTTTTTTAATCTGATTAGGGTTTTTTTTTTTAATGAAATTAGGTTTTTAAATATCTGATTAGGATTTTGTTTTTAACGGATTAGGGTTTTTAAAAATCTTATTAGTGTTTTGTTTTTCCTGATTAGGGTTATGTAAAATCTGATTAGGTTTTTTTAAACATTAATTTGGTTGGTATATGCATGCACTTATGAATATTCATATCATCAGTGTTTTGTTGGTATATGCATGCACTTATGTGTTTAGTGGTATTTTCATTTATTTTTGATTACTTCATCATTCTGGTCATTTTGATAAGAAGTGGAATTATGCTTATAGCATTGTAAAGTGTTATGATGATAATGATCCTGACATGATGTCTTACATAGAGATTGAGGGAATGTTGAAAAATATTGGTTTTAATCCTAAAAGTCCAGTGTACTATAGAAATCCCAATGATGGAACTACTATACTGATGCAAGGTGATAAAGGTGTTTTAGACATATTTGAAATGTACAAGAGGTTTTCAATTGTTAAGATATTTGCACTTAATGATGTGGGCCCAGTTGAAGGAGATGGAAATGTGAATGGAACTTGAGCTTTACATATGGAATATGTAGCCATTAAAGATGCAAGTAATGAATCATCCTGACATTGATTTTCAGAGTGATTTTGAAGTTGGGGATGCTGATGTTGAAGTTGGGGATTCTGATTTTGATTTTGGTGATTTTGATTTTGAATTTGGAGATGCAATAGCTGCAGATATAACTGCTAAGGATGTAACTACTGAACATGCAAATGCTGAAGATGCAACTGCTGAACATGTTTTTTTAGATACTGATGATGACAGTGGTACTGAAGGCAATAGAGGTATAGATGCTTGGGGTGCTTTAGAGGACTTGTGTAGGGAATCTGTTTATACACCAAGTGATGAGTTGTGGAATGTCCACAGTTCATCTGAAGAAGATTATTGTGTTGAAAGTAATAGTTGAGAGAGATTTCTAAACCTTTGACAATTAGAATGAAGTTCACTTATGCAAATGACTTTAGAATTGCTTTAAGGGAGCACGCCTTAAAGAACAGATATGAGTTCAGGTTCAAAAAAAATGAAACAAAAAGGGTGACAACTACATGTGCTAATAAATGTGGTTGGATGGTTCATGTTTTCCGTAATAGTGTTACCAAGGCATTTACGCTTAAGAATTTATCACCTACGCATATTAACTGTCCTCCAGTCGATAAAAATAGATAAGCCACCTCTACGTTGCTTGCCAAAAAATACATAAATAAATTCAGATTTGATCTAGATTAGAAGTATGCCCTTATTGAAGATGCAATCAATGATAACTTTGAAGTTAGTGTTTCTAGATTCCAATTTTGAAGAATGAAAGGAAAAGTAAGAGAGATCATTCAAGGTAATCATGAAGATCAGTTCAGCAAAGTGTATGAATATGGTAATCTACTAATGACCACTAATCATGGAAGTGTGATAAAGATTGAGACAGAGCTTGATATTGAAGGTAAAACCAGATTTAAAAGGTTTTTCTTTTACCTTAATGCAACGTGGAGGGATTATAAAAAAGGGTGTAAACCCTTTTGTAGGCCTAGATGGGTGTTTTTTGAAAACCAAATACCAAAGGCAGTTACTGTGGGCTGTTGGAAAAGATGGTAATGATAGCTACTTTCCAATTACTATGGCAGTGGTGGAAGCTGAAAACAAATCAACATGGACATAATTTCTTGATGAGTTGATGAAAATCATTGGTCCCCCCACTGGAATCACATTCATCTCTGATAGGCAAAAGGTATCATTGTAATCATTTATGTCATCAATTTATATTATGTTCTTTATCACTGATTATGCTAACAAAGTTCATTACTACTATTACAGGGATTAATTGATTCATTAGAGCAGCTTACAGATGACAATGACCATAGGTTTTGTGTGAGGCATATTCATAAGAACTTCAAAAAGAAGTGGAACTACTTGGAACTAAAAACAGAAGTGTGGAATACTGCAAATGCATACACAGTAAAGGACTTTGAGATTCACATGAAATCCATAAAGAGACTCAATGCTGATACATATGCTTGGTTAAATAAAATCTCATTCAACTTGTGATCAAAGTGTGGTTTTTATCCTTATTCAAAATGTTATTTGAATAGCAACAACATGTATGAGAGCTGGAACAGTTAACTGAAAAAGTTAGGGAAAAGCCAATTATTTACATGTTTGAGATGGTACATAAGTATTTGATGAGAGATTCCAAGAGAATAGAGATGATGATGAATAGGCATGAAGGAGTTTTATGTCCTAAGGTGCAAGATGAACTGGAGAAAAAAAAGTTGAAGGCAAAGAAGTGCTATGTCCATAATTCAGGGAATGGATTGTTTAAGATTGACAGTAAGGGGTTGAATGATGTAATACCCCTAATTTTAAAAGGATAGTCTCGGTATTTATTTATTTATTTTAATTGTATTTTTTAATTATTTAATTAATTTTTTGACTAATTGCTTATGTGTTTAATTGAATTAGGTATTACTTGATTATTTGATTATGTGTCTATGTATTATTTGTATTTGTCTATGTGTTAATTGATTAATTAGATTATGTGCTTAAATGGTGTTTTGATTAATTGTAAATTAAATGTTTTCTTTTCTTTTATTATTTTATTTTATTTTTCTTTTATGGTTATGGTTAGTAGTAATGGGTCAACCAATTGGGTCACATGGACTACTTGGATAGGAGGTTGGATATGTATGGATTATTACCCATGGATAATGTATGTATATATATTATATACATGTATAAAAAGGAAAGTAATTTACTAATTATTTCTATGGTAACTTGGGTAGTAATATTTAATCTGATATATATGTTTTATATTTAAATAATAAAAATATACATAGATTTGATACGTGTTATGTTTTAAGTTACTTTATAATATTATGGTAACTTAAGTATTATTGGATAATCCATTAATAAATAATAGAATATGTATAATTTATTTATTTAATAAACATATACATTAATTACACACATAAATTATATACGTAACATATTTTACTTACCTTTTTAATATATATATATATATATATAAAAGAGAAAGTAATTTATTAATAACTTTTATGGTAATTTGGGTAGTAATATTTAATCTGATGTATATGTTTATTTAAATAATAAAAATATACATAGATTTGATACGTGTTATGTTTTAAGTTACTTTATAATATTATGGTAACTTAAATATTATGAATAATCCATTAATAAATAATGGAATGTGTATAATTTATTTATTTAATAAACATATACATAAATTATATACGTAACATATTTTGTTTACCTTTTTAATATTTTTATTTTTATTTTTTTTTTAGTTGACTTGGATTGGGAAAAGGGTTAGGGTTATTTTATTTAGCCTATAAATATATAGCTATAGGTTGTAAAAGGGGGTTAGAAATATTCACGTGATATATACTAGAGGGATAGTGTTAGAGAAGGAAGGAGGAAAAGGAAGGAATGAGGAGAAAAATCCTGTAGAGAGAAGATCAAGGAAGAAGAAGTTTAACTTTCGATCCGAAAGTTTAAGGCAAGTTCTTCTTCTATCTCTTTCCCTTTGATTCGTGTTTCTGTACATGCCTAGGAAATTCCAGAATTTATTAAACACATAATATTAAATAATTATGCATGTTTAATTGGGTTAGAACATAAGTTTTATGAAATTGGTTCATATCTGTTCTTGTGTTATGAATTGATAAAATGCATGATTTTGATTTGATTTCTTATGTGAATTTTTACATGTTTAAATTATGTATTTTTCATATCTGTGGAATGATGGAACGTAGAAACATGCCTAAGATTCCTAAACATTAAATAGGGACTAGGTTTGGGTTTTAATAAATTTAAATAGACTCGATCATAATGATGCTTGCTATTTGAATGTTTTAAACAAACGAACGGATTTAATCTTTTAAAATATTTTAGCAATTGAGATTAAATGTGTAGGATGAATTGGATATAGAGAATCCTTATTTAA